GTCGTGCTGCAAGTGCATTTTTCCCCCCTGAACTTTCAGATTAACACCTCAAGCTTGTTACCTCTTCACTGCGAAGGGACATAGCATTGTGTGTGTGTCACTACTACTGCTGGCCAAGGGTGGTCAGGGACCTTTGCCTAAGGGTGAGGCAGCAAAAGGTTCAATGCAGGGATGGCCCTGGAAAACTATTGATACTTGTGACCTCGTACGCACCCTTAACCTACATCTCCATTACACTGTAGAAAGAATATGAGGCTATGCCCCAGCAGAGGCATGCACTTACCCACACACCTCAGGTGTACTAGCTTTCTTGCCCTTTACTCTCTTTCAGGGACATGCTTTAGAGCTTCAGATGTGGACAATAAGGAGGTTTTGGCATAACAATGCACATGTAACTGTGTACAGTTGCAAGTGTAGACTTAGCTATATAGACTCACATCTCATGGTAGTGTGCGTGTGTGTGTGTGTGTGTGTGTGTGTGTGTGTGTATGTTTACATCCTTGCTTGGTCCATTAGCTGGGTTTGAATATGGGACTTTCAGCACTAAAAGTATGAACCTCCACTGCTTGAGCTAAAGAACCCTGTCTAGTAGCTGAGAGCTTTAGTGTATCAGCTTCTAGAGGGGGACAAAAACTCAAACTTTGCTAGTGTCATTTACATATGCACTATTCAAAATAGGAGGTGCATAGGCTTTGTGCTGCACCTCTGCACAAGGATGGATTTCACCTGTATGAATTCCTGCCCAGCATATATATTATAATAATACATTTTAATGTTTTTGTTCCCATATGCTTCTGGATACCTTAGCAAAATATACATAATTAATACAAATATGAAACAGGGCCACATGCCGTAACAGATCTATACAAGAAGAACAGAACAAAAATACTAGTAACCTCCATTCCACACTTACTGAAAATATACCTCTCACAAAGATATCAGCCCAGCACATATGGTGCCACCACAATTAAATTAAAAATAGAAAGTCAGGAGACTTGCTCCAAAGGATATCAAAATTGTTTATACTGAACCCAGAGAGCAAGAGAATTCCGAGTCATTTGGTGGCAATCTGTGCATACCAGATCTCTCGAGACACCACTATGGTATCAGTCCCCAGTGACAGAGGACCTTGAGATGGAATCTATGGATTATCTCAGTGAAACCCTTCATTTCAATTCTGGTACCTTGATTCTACAGTGATGGACACATTATAAATGGCATAGATGAGATTAGATACTTTGGAATGGTGTCTATTCAGAACTCATTTGTTGTCACAAGACATAGGGCAATAAGTTTCCCTCCGGTTGACTGATTCTACTATCTGATATTTAGTCATTAAGGGGAAAACCTGTCTCCTGCTCCATGGATGCAGTTCAGTTGCTCTGGAGGATATACATATAGACCCTTGCTTCTAGGCATAAACACAGTCTTCAGCCTGTGGAGATCGGGAAATCCCATAAAAGGGCTCATTGGGCCATAGTAACCTCTGTGGAGCTGCTCTTCAGCCACTCTGCATCCTGGATGGAAATATTTCCCCCCCTCTGCTGCCCCAGACATTGAGCACATCATTTGGGCCTGATTTAGTAATGGTAAGAATCTGAAGCACACTGGCTCTACAATAGGCTGGCAGTGCAGCCATCAGAGCACAAATGTCAGTGTAATGGGTGAAACCACCTGAGCAGTTATAATACAGCAGAACCCCATTCATCTGACCTAATTGGGCCTGGGGTCAGATCAGATAATCCAAAATTTGCATAATCAAGAGAATGGGCTAAGAGCTTTCTATCCATTATTTTAAAGACGCAGAGTTGCTTTTAAACTAGCTGATCCCTCCTGGAAAAGCATTAAAACATAGCCCCCTTCTTTATTTTCAGTATACGTGAACTGTTACTTCTAGTAATCAGTGCCAGTTTTTAAAAATGCAGAAATGATCATTTTAAGTTGCAACAACAACAATACCAATGGTAACAACTAACAACAGTAACAATACATAATATGCATAAAGTATCACATTAAAATACAATACTGTATATAGTACAGTGATATGTACTGCAGCACTCATGTTGATAATGGCTGGAAAAAATCTAACAGTTTGCGTTGTTTTAGATGAAAGGGTCTCTTCTTCATTGCACGATCACGGAGTTGCTTCATCAACAACCGTTCAGTGTGTGCGCTGGTTGTTCAGTTAATATGGAAAGCTGGCTAATGGAGGCTTGGGTGAACAGGGATTTACTGTACTATAGCTGAAAGAAGCTGCAATCTATTCCTAGCTGATGGTCACTTTAGAGAGTTACCATATAAATGTACTGCAATGGAATAAGACTAGTACAACTGGTGTAGGTCATTCCAAATACCCTACTTTTCCTGCGATATCCGTGCTTTCCAGACGCCTCAGTTTTCCTTCTGTGATATATTTAATAGTATGTGGAACAGAAAATACTTTGGAAATTTAGGGATAATGTTTTCCTTTACATTCAAGGTAACCTGCATACTCTCTTCAATGTCCAACATATTGTTAAATGCTTGGTATTTGGATAGTAATTTTTCCAATGTCATTTTCCATCTACATTGTATATGGAATATTTAAATAGATAAAAAGGGATGATTCAGAGCCATGACTTATTATTTATTTACTATTTATTAAGCACTGCAGAATGCAGTAACTATCCTAAGAATTTACAAGTCTGTACAATGAGAACTTTTCCATTCAAGTATAACAAATTACCTCCACATCTGGCTTTCTGAGGGAAGAATTGGGCACAATGTGTCCACCCCAAATATAACATAATTTGTGCTATAATGCTATATCACCTTCACCCTTGCATTACAATATCACTTACATCTCCACACACTTTCAATGCCAGCTTTTTAATGCATGAATAATTCTACCAATCGCCTACTGAAACAAAGATTAGACATCATGAAGTCATAACATGTCACTCTCATTTGAATTATGATATTTGTAAGAAATGTTTTTAAAAGATCTAAGTTACCATCATCTGCTGGATCTTCCTGCCCCATATTTGTCTGGGTTTTAGATTGTAAGTAGAACTGCAGGGGGAAAAATTCTCAATTTTGAAAAGTCCAAAAAATATGTTGTGATTTTTATTTTTTGAAAATTTCCCCCCAAAATATATTGCTGTTTTTAAAACTAGCTTATGGAGTGGTCAAATACTTTAGTAAATTTGAAATTTTGCTTACAGCTTTTCATTAAAAGTTTTGAAAAAACATTTGCAATTTCTTTCATTAATTTTTGCCCAGCTGTAATTGTACAAGGACTTCAGGAACAATCTGTGTCTGATTTGTGCTTTGGATATGGTGCCAAGCACCATGCTCATGCTTAGTAAACAAATAACCATTAGCAAAAAAATGATACAAACGTTCTGACACTTTGGGTTACGTGAGTATTCTGGGAACTGTGGTTCCATTTGTTTCCATTAGAAGTGTTTGGAAATCTAATTTAAAATAAAATCTCCTATTTAAGATTGCAAATCATAGCTGTAAACCTTAACATGCATGATAAAGCCAAAGAGAGATTTTCTCAAGGCATCCACTTGGCTGTGGTAGCCCTCAGGTCAGCCAGGTGTTCATGGATTTTAAAGGCTATTTAGGAATAATACCAGCTGGGCTATGTTATCTCTTTCTCTTAATAACCACAGGACTAGATGGAAGGATGATGTGTGTCCCCCTTGTCTTTCCTCTGGCCAGCCCACTCCCTTACTATGGACAGTCAATCTCTATCCCCTCCCCCAGCATGGACCTTAGACTATGTTAAGAAGCATCCGTAGGGTATTTGTTGGGGGGAGGGAGCATGGAGGGGATGGTGATACGAAGATAGCTACACCCTCTTTCCATATGTAATGAGGTGGGATTCATGCAAAGATAGTACCTTCTGCATATGGATACATGGGTCATAATCTGGCCCCATGTACGTAAATTAGTACTAATAACTGAAAGGGCTGTATTAGAATAAAAGTGCAGATATGACAAAACTGTTAAATGTAATTTAAAGCTTTTCACCCCTTTTGTGAATGGGTGGGAAAATGTCACTTTTCATTTGTTTATGTTTTATTCATATTTTCCAGAAGTGTTTTTAATGTATTGTAATTTATAAAATTGAAAGTAGTGAGTCACAAAATAAGAGGTACGAGAAGAGGTGAAGTGGCCAATTCCATCTGATGTGGACTGAATGTGAGCAAAAGGCATTTTGAAATATTTGGAAACTTTGTCAAGCAATGAAAATTGCATAGGCACATGCCTATCAACCTATTAATTTTCAAAACAAAACCCCAAGAAAACTATTTTACATGTGAATGGGATATAAGCTGACCTGCACAAAATTCAATCTAAATAAGCTTCCAAGATTGTCACTATGTCTATGGTGCTCAGAAAGTCTGAGTCACCAGGTTGAATTATCACTGGGACTCACTGGCAGGTACCATCCAAAGTTTAAGTTATCTGCTATTTTTGGCTTTTTTGCACACACGACTTTACAGCATGGGCAATCAGTTCTTTGTATTTATTAATGGTACAAGAAAGAATTTAAAGCTATTCTGAAACCTACATTCTCAAATTTAGAGCTACAGCTAGAGGCCCTGATTCAGAAAAGCAATGAAGCATGTGGTTACCTTTGCAAAAGACTGTACTTAAGCATATATTTAAATTTAGTCATGCACTTAAATCCTATTGAGGTCAATTAAACTACTCATGAGAGTAACTGTCACCAACGTGAATGAAGAGTCCCAATCTGGCCCATAATTATCAGCAACATACTGTATCACCTTCTACACAGGCATTATTAATCTGGCATATTATGGTAAAATATTTCCATTCTCCTCCACGTACCATAACTGTTTTACCATAAATGGCCCAGTAACAAGATATACTTATCAGCCAACTGCAAATGTATTAATTTCTCAATACATATATAACTACAGGTATTGATGCTTGAGCCAAAACTCTTTGAAGTCAATGGAAAGACCTCTGTTGTCTTCAGTTAGTATTGGATTGAGCCTTTAGTTCTTACTATACAACTTTATTTTTGTGTTTTTAAGGTTTAAAAAGTGTGTGTTTGTTGGTTTTTGTTTGTTGATTTCACTGAAGAAAGATACCTGAACACTATCTACCATATCTGCTATCAAATATATTTAGTTTGTAAGGAAATTACTGTACACATAGGTGGGAGAAAGGGTCCATAATTCATATCACTTTTTTATCCTTCAATTTTCAAGCTTAATATTTATACAACAGGGCCACGTTATTTCCTTGTTCCATCTCTGGCCAGTGTCTCTCTCCTGTATGTAAATAATATCTCTATGTAATATGATGAGTAAGTTCCAGAGGAAGAAATTTTATTTGGACTTTCCCAGTTTGGTATATCACCTTCCTAAAGGTTATGTTGCACCCAGGAAGGAATGAGGTAGTGTAGGGAATGCTACTTTGCTCTTTCCTTCCTTCTATCTGACCAATAGAACACAGAAGAAGGAAATGGTAAAGAGCTTCATGTTGATAACTTTTACAAGTATAATGACCTCTCTAAATGCTCACAAAATGAGGCAAATTTTTCACAACCACACAAATTTTTCATACATTTGTGGAATGGGCTTAAATTTATGTGAATATACATTAGGCTGATACCTCACCACCTTACTGCCTGGCTGGGAGGGTAGAACACGGAGTCCCTTCCGGAGCTGACATTAGTATCTCTCCATGACTTCTAAGGAGCCATGGCATGCAAGGATCCTACATGTCCCTCACTCTGAATGCAACAAGGCTCTGGTCCCACCAGCCTGGAACATGAGAGTTCTGAGGTTGTTCCTAAACTAAAGTCCTCAATCTGCAACTCAAAAGCCGGTCATCAAAATATTCTTCCATTTCTAATGATTTTTTTATACTTCAAATTTTTTTTTGAAAAGTTTATTTATAATCTCATTTTTTGAATGTTTCTACAGTTTTGGATTGTTTGAACTATTTGCATAATGTACAACATTCTAACCATATTTTTCCTTTTCAGGAAAGCATAGATTTGGGTGAAATCATGTTTTCCCTTTGCTATTTACCTACTGCCGGACGAATGACATTAACAGTAATCAAATGTAGAAATCTCAAAGCCATGGATGTAACTGGCGCTTCAGGTAGGTATGCTTCTTTTCATTTAACAGCATGGAGTTCTGGTCTGAAAAGTGGCTATATTAAAATGACAACTTCTTACTCAACAAATATGTGTATTTTGAATATGCCGAGTCATATCTGCTCAGTTTTGTGAAAAAATATGGGTTGTTTTTTTTCCTGCTTTTTCTTTTTATTAGTTGTGTAGAGACAATATGGGTCAGAAAAAGTGAAATGAGGATTCTGTTTCATCTTTTGCACGATCAACCAAATTGTTTAAAAGTTCCAAACAATTCTGTGCAAAGCCATTGAAAGCAATAGCCATTGAGGGCATTCACTGAAGACAATGGGATTATGCAGGTGTAAGAGAGGGCATAATTTGGCCTCCCCAACATTGATTATTTTGAAGCTGAGTGAGATAAAACACTGGTTAGCTGTTAGAGTTCAGGCTGAGTTTGCAGGACTGTTGGTTGTTTTGTTTTGTTTTTAAAGTTGGTTTTTAAGTTTTTAAACTTAAACTTGATACAGAAAGCAGTGCGAGACAAACATGTAAATCCACAGTCTTGTTGTACCAAAGACACTTTACAGAATGGAACTGCTCTTCAAAAGACACTCCTTTAGTGGCACATTAAAAATCTCTACATCCAGTGGAAAGTTTTGATTTAGTTGACATTAAATTGTACTTTGATATTCACCTACAAAGTTTTGGGGCTTGTTTGTTTGTTTTTAATTAAGTTTTGCTTTGTTTTCTGGAGGGGTAGGACAATGGGGATTACTCTATCCTCTTAAAATAATAGCAGAAGATAATTAAAAGAAAATGAAACATTAAAAATGCAGGGAGAGATTTTCAAAGGCACACAACTCCCATTGACTTTCAACTGGAATTAGGTACCTAACTGCCCTTTGCACTTTTGAAAATCTCCTCCTTTTATTTTGTAACGAATATGTTTATTACATGAAAACTTCAAGAGAACTAGTTAAGGTGGAGAGGTCTAAATTAGAGCTACTGGCTGTGTGTGATGTGGGGGTGGGTGAATCTATTTTGTTTGCTTGCACCATTCTTTTGAGTAGACAGGAAATTGAAATTGCAGAAGAGACAGCTCTGGTTGCTTATGTCACTAATACCTATACAACTTAGGTTTTCATGAATGTTAGCCTGCTAAGAATTTGCTGCTCTTTTGCTTTACATTTCAACTGCATTGAGACCAGTGTGTGAAAATGACTTCTTGTTACTCAGATCCATATGTCAAAGTCTCATTGATGTGTGAGGGTCGAAGGCTAAAAAAGCGGAAAACAACTACAAAGAAAAACACACTTAACCCAGTTTATAATGAGGCTATCATCTTCGATATCCCTCCAGAGAATGTGGACCAGGTCAGCCTCTCCATTGCTGTGATGGACTACGATCGGTAAGTGTAATTTGTTCCCTGAAAATATTAATCTTCAGCAAGTGGTTACCTCACTATTGCAATTGATTTATTATTTTAACTGCCTGGTGTTTTAAGTAAATTCAATGTCACTAAAATAACACTTTTGAATCCGGAGGATTCAAAGCTACCATGGCTTTCAGCGTTTACTTCCGTTTATCAGTGTCATTAATGATGGTAAGAAGAAAATTAAACATGACTGAAAATTGTCTCATAAATGTAACCCGCATTAACAGTGTGAGTCTTTGTCCATCCCGTCCCCATCTCCCCCTCACCCCCCGACCCTGTGGCTACACCGTGTAAGGGGTTTGTAAGACTGTAAAACTTCCAGCAAATGGAGTTATTCCTTTAGCTCAAGCAGTAGGGAAAAAGTTAGCTCTATAGGTTTCAGAGTAGCAGCCGTGTTAGTCTGTATCTGCATCCGAAGAAGTGGGCTGTAGTCCATGAAAGCTTATGCTCAAATAAATTTGTTAGTCTCTAAGGTGCCACAAGTACTCCTGTTCTTTTTATTAGCTCTATAGACACTGGTTAAATTCTTGCTGATAATTCAACCAGGGGATTCATTACTTCAGGTCAATTACCCTGGACCTGCCTACTTCCTGTCTCCATACAGAGGAGGGAAATACCCCACAACCGCATCGCCCACTTAAGTTCTGATATGGGCAGAGAGCCATCTCCTCCCATCCTTTCCCAGACAGTTTCCTAGCACAAAGGGGACAACTCTATCCCTATGGCTAAAATAGCCTGGGGGTTGCAAGTTACATTAGAGATGGATTGACAGAACAGTGCTTGAGCAGAGCCTACTTCACTCACACCTACTATTACTCATGAGCTCCAGAGACATTCAGAATTATAGGGGGGTGGGAATGGGGGCAGGAGAATCAGCAGTAAAAACTGAGTCAATGTTATAAAACCTGTGGTGAATTTTCCCCATCCTTTAGTTCCTACCTCACCTTAAGACAGTGGCTGTGAAGGGCTTAGGGAGAGAATGGTGCAGTGAGTTATACACCATCAGTCCTTTATAGCACTCTTCATTTGCCGATCTCAAAGTCTTTGTCAAGGGGAAGATGAGTATCATCGCCTGTTTACAGAGGGAAGAAATAAGAAAGAGTGAGGAAGTGACTCGGTCAAGGTCACACAATAGATCGATGTTGGAGTAAGAGCTATTAAGCATTTAGCTGGTGTTAAGATTTTTGCCTGTCATGGTTACACCCTTGAATGCCTTGACAAGAAGCATAGATCTATCTTTTATGTTTCTGTACCTGAGGTTCTAATTATTATAACAGACTAAAGAATAAAAATATACCTTAAGATCACCAGCTACTCTTGGGTCCTGCATGAACCCTGATTCCTCCAATTCCCACTCATCATCCCTCTCCCCACAATTTAAAACACAACAGCAAAACATGTAACTAACTAACCGGTGACACTCAAAACCTACTGACAACTATATGCAAGAAATCCATGGATCACCACACTCAGCTTCGTAGAGCCGGTAACCACCCCAAATACACCAAGAAATCTATTAGCTACAGCCAGGTACTTAGATGCCACAGAATATGCTCCAAGGAGAAAGTTTGGGAGACACACCTTAACACACTTCACCAAACAAGGACACTCCACGAGAGAAGTTGGAATGGGCCACCCAAATACTCTGAAGGAACCTGCTCCATGCAGAAATAACCCCCACCCTCTGACTCCACAACCCTAGTTGTCACCTACCACCTCACTGGACCCCATACAGGGTATCATAAAACAACTACAACCCATATGCCATAGGGATCCCATCCTGAAAGAAATCTTTCCTGAACCCCCCACTTCTGGCCATCAAACAACCTGCCAACCTCTCCAAGCTCATTATCAAGCAAGCTCCCTGCAGACCAGGACACACCAACTCAAAGTGGCACCAGACCCTGCCAGAACAACAGATGTAAAACCCGCAGACATATTTCCAGTGCTACAATGATCAACACCCCCCACAACATATCTTTCAAGATCCAGGGGTCTTACACATGCCTATCACAACATGTGGTGTACCTCATCCAGTGCACTAAATGCCCCAATAACAATTATGTGGGTGAAATCTGACAATCACTACACTCTTGAATGAACTCACGCAGGAAAATGATAACAGACAAAAACGCTCTATCACCTGTGGGTGAACACTTTTCACAAAGTGATCTCTCTATATCTAATGTCTCAGTCCTCATCCTCAAAGGAAACATGCACAACACTTTCAAAAGATGAGTCTGGGAGCTTAAATTCATAACTCTGCTATCACTAAAAATCATGGACTGAACAGAGACATAGGATTTATGGTTTATTACAACAATCTATAACCCACTAACAACATCCCCAATTGCTTTGCTTCCCCTTCCACCCCGCCTTCCTTTATCCCAGTGATTGGAGGGGTGTTAATGGGCTACTTCACCTTGAATGGTCCCTTGAAATGTGTGTTAACTACTGGTGCTAAACAATCTGTTCCACCTTGTATTTAGCTGTGACAATAAGTTAGTTTCCCAGACCTGAAGCAGAGCTCTGTGTAAGCTCAAAAGCTTGTCTCTCTCACCAACAGAAGTTGATCCAATAAAAGATATTACCTCACCCACCTTGTCTCTAATATACTGGGACCTACAGCCACAACACCGCATACTCAAAACCATGGTCAATAATTTGTATGTTATCCCTATCTCCAACTCTTTGCCTTTTCTTTTGGATTGTAAGTAGAACCCTGCACAGATACCAAGTTTGTATGTGCATCCAATCTGCGAACATGGTCCATGGATATCCGCATCTGCATCCACGGATGCAGATATCTGCAGATATAAAGTGGATATCCACAGATTTGCCGGACTCTAATTGTAAGTTTTCCAGGGCAGGGCCAATTTCTTCATCGATGATTTTATAGCTCCTAACAAAATGATGCCCCAAACCTGACTGGGATTTTTAAGTCGTCCTGTAATATATATGATTAATAACAATAATGTGCACACTTTGGGCATCTTCAACATTTTGCGCTAAACCAATCCAACTGCATTATGGTTCAAAGATGTTAATAAATCTATCTGTATTAAAAAAAGCTTTCTCTGCCCTTCTGTAATCCTCAGAGTAGGACACAATGAGGTGATCGGGGTGTGTAGGACAGGACTTGATGCTGAAGGACTTGGAAGAGATCACTGGAATGAAATGCTGGCTTACCCCCGTAAACCTATTACTCATTGGCATCCATTGGTAGAGGTAAGAAGTAGAGTATCTCTATAGCCAACTTCTTGCTACATCTCTCTACTTTTAATAACTCATTTCCAAGAGCCTCTGAGAATCATGACATCACTAAGCTGGGGACCTTGTGGAAGATCCTCCACTTAAATCTTGCCTAAGAGTTGTGTGTGGTGGGGGAGAGAGGGTTGAATGGCCAAGCAGGGATGCCTGCGCATACCTTACATACTGCAGAAAAGCACTTTGCACTGCCCTGCAAAGGCTGGTAAGGAGATCCACTTTGGGGCAGGCCAGGGGTCAGAAATTGACCCTGGGCTTCAGAGATGGATTTCACTTTCTCAGCCTTCCTGCACTCCACTTCAATAGGACCTGAAGTTTCTTATGTTGGTGGACTGAATTTTCTCTAAATAGCTGACAGTCAAAAGAAATCTATGACTCAGTTCACGTCTAACGAATGCTTTTATTGATTTTTGCTGTTATTTTAATCAGTGAGGTTCTGATTTTGGGGTTTACTTTTGATCTGAAAGTATCACTTCAGAAGTTGCCATGCTCTGCTCTCAAGGTTTTGATATAAAGTTCTTTCAAATCTTTTTAGCGGTTACCTATTGTTTATTTTGAGATTACCAAGGATTGCTTAAAATTACTTGGGAGTGGTAAATGTAAATATTTCAAGGCCAATCATTTCCTTATTTGAAATGATAAGCATTAAAGAGAGTTGTGTAACTAAAATATTGAGTTTAGATTTCTCCATTAAGTAGGCTGAGTTGAGGCTACACACTAGTAGCCGCATACAGAGATGCTAAAACAGTCATTTATTTGAACCCTCTAATCCTAATGCAGGGAAAATTCTGTGTGTAACTGTGAACTTTGAGAAGATCCCCTTCAGAGTCTTAGGACCACATCCTGCCGGATGCATAACACCCATTGGAGTCATGGCTTTAGGGCTGGGAGGGTGCAGGCTGGGTTCATTAGGCAGCAGGCCAGGATTGGGGTCAGGGGGACAAATGTTGTTCACCCCTTCTCTTCAATCAAGCCTTGCAGATAAACCAGTTGAGAGCTGATGCAACCTGAGGCAGCACTGACTATTTCATGGCTCCCTCTACTGTGGGGAACCACCCTTAAAGAAGCGTCCAGGGCTGTGGCAGCTGGGGAGTGTCTACTGGAGCTACATTCTCAGGGAGTGTGTGAGAGAGAGGAAGCTGGAGCCAGAACAGTTCAGAGGGCACTGCACAGAGGTTCCTGGCCTCCTCCTGGATTCTCCAGCACATATGCACGGTTTGGAAACAGAACTGCAGCTCAGTAGATGGTGAAGCAAACCACACCCAAATGGAATGATTCAGGGAGAGTCCTTATGGGGTCCCCCCCAAAAAAGTTTCCTTACCATGGTTAATTCTCCAGGAGGGTGTGTCCTGAGGCATAAAAATTACTTCAGATTAAGTTTTCATTTTCTAAAAATGTCCTTTTCATTTGGGGGTACAATTCAGCTCCTTCTTTTGGAGAGGGTCCTTGTGACTCTCTCATCCTCAGAAATAACCATGATGAGTGGAGAGATCTGATGATGATTGTAAAACTAAAACTTTTCTTTCAGTTACCTGGCCAGGCAACCAGTTTTGATAGCCAGGGGTCTTGTTCATCACCAAAACCACCACCTACACCCTAGGGCACAAGAATGGATTCATCACATCCAGTGTCCAAGCTCCATGTCCATCACACCTACATTAACAGAAGGTTTGGCTTCCTCAGATGAACTGTATCCATATTTTTGTATTAAAATAGATTTTCTTCCTGTTCTAAGTCTTATATTACAGTTTATAATAATTTCTTAAGAATGAATTTCACTTGAGCCAAAATACTCCTTCCTTATGCAAAGATATTCATTTTTCTCTCTGTCATAAAGTATTGTTTTGATACAACCTATTTCTTTGCAGATGGAAGGAAATCAGAGAAAAAAATACATATATACTAGCACTTGAAAACAAATGGAGCTTATGATGCTATTCCTTTTAAGGTAGCAAAATTGTCATATACAGCACTTACTTTGTAACTTGCCTCTAAATTATAAATTTTGCACTAAATCGTATATGACCATTAAAGAAAACCTTTACAGCTTTTGATGTACTAGAAAAAGATAATTCTAACAACATAATGTCCAGTTTCTCTATGATTGTCTTGAATGTTACTTTGCTCACTGTAGGCCTGCACCAGAGCCCACTGAAGTCAATGGAAAGGATCCTATTGAATTCATTTGGTTTTAGTTCAGGTCCTATGGACCATATCCTGCAAATGAATGCATGCAGTTGAACCCTTACAACAATCCTACTGACATTATGGAGACAACTATGCAGTATTTGATATCCAAGCTATTTTGACTGGATGCCTTGTTCGCATGGGATTGGTTCTGTTCTGTTCCTATGAATTCAATATGACTGGATGAGTGTTTTTCTTAGAATCAGGCTTCCAGTGACAATACTTGTGATTATGAATTTGAAATTTGCCTTCTGTCAATATAGTGAGGTAAAAACTTAAATGTTACTACTTCATAGAACATTCCTGCTAGTAAACTCAAGAATATTCAAGGAAAGAAAATACAAAATGAGCATCAGTTAAAGCTAGTTGGTTAAAAAACTGATTAAATACTAGCACGTTACTTTGCAGTATTGATCCAAGTCTCAATAAAACTCCAGTTTAGCTCAGTGAGAGAATTTGTACTAAGTACAGACAGAGAAAAGGCTGCAGGATTGGGCCCTGGGCTTTTAAAGGTGAGCTGCAATAGGAAAATTAATTAGGGGTGTTCCCTTTTTTTTGTTTGTTTGTTTGCTTGCTTCTTTTTGACATATAAAGAAAGCCAGAAAGGTTTTAGTTTAAAAACAATCCAAAAACATTTGAAAATTAGAAATGTATGTCCTGTTTATGCAGAAAAACTCTGTAATGATGGGAGAACTACCAAATTCTGACATGACAGGAGTCAAGAGAATGAAAATTGAGAGGAGGGGATTTTTACTCAGACTTAAAAAAATCTTTTGGGTTTGGTTGGCTTTGTTAATACCTATTTTATTTCAGTGACTAACATTTTGGATAAATGATTTATTTATAAAAATCCATCACCTCCAGCTTTTTAATTAAGATGTGATAGCTCCCAGTAAACATGCTCTGACTGAGATGTCTATCATTTCCTCCAGAAAAACCACAGAAAGCTAGTCTTGACATTCTAGTAAAATGAAGCATAAAATAACTACATACATAAACACACAGGCCTTCTTTATATATTACTGAAAACAAAAACAAAAAAAAGGGACCAATGTTTGAAAAAATTCTTTGAAAGTCATCTTTGCTGAATCCTATAGAAACTGTTTCCTTCTAGAGATTTGGTCCTCTTGTCCCATGGTATTTTAACCCTCAAGATTGTATTTTAATAAATAAATATATATACATACAGCCTTGCAAATTTTTACTCATCCACTTGCCCTGGGCGAGTAAATTTTTTAAACAGGGGAGTAAACTGTAATTTGGTTTTCATCACCATCATCATCATGAGATTTTGTGCCTGGGCTTGTAAATTTTCGTGATAGTTTTGCAAGGCTGATATAGAGACATACTTATATATCTGGAGATTCAAAAACTATTTTGAGTATACATTTATCTTAATATAAAGTATTATAGGAAATGGGGGTTTGTGCCCTAAAAGTTACTATTTTGTAATGTGGTACTGTAACAGTTGACTGAATATTCTTTGCACTTTTTTGCATCTAATATCCAAAAAAAGCTAACAAGTTCACAATCAAATGTAGCACTAGTGTTCAGTAATGAACAACATCTTGTTTATAACTGTTTCATCATTTTCTATTAATATCATGTATGTTTTATTATAAGTGGCAAGATATTTAAATGATCACTTTCTTGGATTTAAATTATTATCCAAAACCAAAGGAATAATAATCCAGTTTGTGCCCTCTTTTTTTTTTTTGGTTCAGAAAATTATTAATAATGGCTTGTGTTTCCAAACTTGATTTGTGGGTGCTCTGCCCCTCTGAAAAAACAGGCTGCTTAATTGGTGCCTACATATGAATTGAAATGCTTAAATTTAGGCATCCAACTTTCAAAAAAAGTCTAGCTGTAGATTATAGATGGTTTCTCATATCGTGCCCTTATCAGTGATGTATTTAAGTAATGTAAAGCGATTTATTTTTTCATTGATCCCTTGAGTATTGATCCTGCAAAGTTAAGCCTGTGCTTCATTTACCATGTGAGCAATTTCATTCTTTTCAAGGGGAGTTCTCACAAGTTATGCATGTGTGTAGCTTCTTGCAGGATTTGGAGCCTTAGACTATACCATTTTTTCTGAAGACCATCATGTTTAGAAGTATACACCTCGGTCATAAAAGTTCACCCAGAGTGAAAACTTAGCAAAGAAAGTCTCAGTGAATGAATAAATAACTTTTCCTTCCAGCTTTTAAGAAACATAATTGTGCTTAATTTGTAGACAAGGTGCAAAAAAATTGAAGAAATGTTTTGATTGCCTATATTTGCATATTCAAAACGTCATAAATATTATTTTGATTTAAACAAAATCAAATTTAGCAAGTTGTGTTTGTAAAATATATTCCAATAACATCTGGCAATTTGAAAAACTCATATTTCTAAAAGCCTGAATTTACGTTGAATTGGCTGGGCACAGTAATTATTTTTCATAAGAATTTTTTTTGTACTACAGAATTTTTAATGCTTTTAGAACAGCAAACTCCACCGATGTACTGTATTTACATGATGGATTAAGTGGCTCCAAAAAAGTTGTTCAGCTCTTATATATACTAACAATAATACACTTTAAAATGGAAAAGCCCAAATGCAAATTTCTCCCATGAGCCACTCCGGTCTCTTGGGTAAATAATGAAGTGTTTTCCCACCATACTAATAAAGTTAAAAAAAAAACGTAAAACACAGTTTGAACAATGATGAAGCTGTCAGTAGGTCTATGCAAAAAGTTTGAGTGGGACTTGAAAACCAGGGTAGGTTTGGGTTTCTAGTGGGGCTGCAAACAAACATAAGCAGATGTTCACAAATAGTCATTGAAGCTGGGATGATGCAGTTCACAGGACTGTAGATCTGCGAAACTCCACTGATTTGTCTCTTCCCTTCCATCCCAACACCTAGCCACTTTTTTCTGACAACCTTTTCTCTACCAGGTTTGTATTCAAGCAGTAGTGACCTGACGCTTACTTTCCTCTGCACTGCCTCAAGAAGATTTCTGGTCTTAGAATCTGTGAAAGCCCTTCTCGCTCCTTCTCAATAGGTGCAGGATGGCTACACCCATTATTTTCCTTCTTCAGGAAGCTGCCATAGAAAGCCTCTGACCTTTCTCCAGTGTATCATGATCATCAGAGGTTCAGGAAGCAGCATTACTCTCGCTTCCTTCCCTTCCAGTGGGCAGCCGGAGAGGGAAATGCACTGTCTCTGTGCTGCTAGATGTTAATATATGGAGATATAGCTATCTCATAGAACTGGAAGGGAACCTGAAAGGTCATCGAGTCCAGTCCCCTGCCTTCCCTAGCAGGACCAAGTACTGATTTTGTCCCAGATCCCTAAATGGCCCCCTCAAGGATTGGACTCACAACCCTGGGTTTAGCAGGCCAATGCTCAAACCACTGAGCTATTTTGCTAGACTGAGTGGCAGGGCAGGGACTGCAGTAACCCATAAGTACATCAGGTCACACATTTCCCATCAAAATGGCTTTTTTGACTAAATGGAATTTTTTTCACAAAAATGTCCATGTTTGTTGAAAATTATGCTCTGGATGCCCCTAAACATCTGGCTGCTAGAAGCTAGGACTGGCAACAGGAGGTTCATCACCCAATGAATTGCCCTGTTTTGTTCATTCCCTCTGAAAAATCTGGCACCAGCCATTGTCGCAAGACATGATGCTGGGCTAGATGGACCATTGGTCGGACCCACTATGGCCATTTTTATATTCTTATCTGGTTTTCATTAAAAAAAAATCCAAAAACTTGAAATACTTTTGGTTTTCAGTGACCAACCCCCAAATTGTTCAGTTTAAAACCAAAAGATTCAGAAGTAACATTTCAATGAAAATAAGCAATTTTAATTTTCATCAAAGTTTTCCTCGGGGAAAAAAAAATTCCTAACCACTTCTACCCATAAGGCTTAGCAATTTGTTCAGTTTCCAGAGAACCCTTACCCAGTCATCCTTTACTCTTACTTTTGTACTTTCATTTATTTTCTGGTGGCTTTTATTTTACCTATTTGGAAGCCATGACTATCACTTTCTAGGGTGATGATGATCTAATTCCCAGCTTTTACATGATTTATCCTTTTTTAACCCATTAACAAAATATGTACCTAGATGGTTTATGGGATATAAAAGGTCTATGATGCTGCATAAGTTTCATTGGTAGATTTATACTTTACACATAAACGTTTTAAATAATTTTTTAAGAGCATAAATGTTGGAGAATTTGAGAAATTATATTAACACTCACTAGGGACTTATCTACGTGGCAAATTACTGCCCAACAAACTAGGGTGTTACTCTACAGTTTGCCATGGAGTAATATCCCATGTAGATGCTGCTACAGTGCACTGAAAGTCCCAGAGCATGGCTTGGTCTACAGTAACTTGCCATGTGGGAAGCCATAGCAGCATTACATATGTAACAGGACTATTTTAGTGTTTAAATAGCTACATTTTCAAAGGAGTTCAATAAATATGCCAGCAAAATTTGAGAAAGCATTTATCTGAGCATGCAAAAATCTACGTTTGAAAATACACTAGTACACACACAATATATATGTAATGATTATTTAGCATTTACAATGCAATAGGATTCAGAAATCCAATGAGAAATAGGCTTCCATTGGTGCTAGATGCTGAACAAACACTTAGGAAGAGAGAGTCCCTGACTCAAAGTACACATTTTTTGTGCATTCAAATGAATGTGCTTGAAAATTCTATTGGCATAAATTATGACCTAAATGTGCATTGCTAAATAGATTATGAGGCAGCTTTTGGACCGGAGATGATTTAAAGTCAGTCAAATAAGCCAGTGATGGGTAGAATATTTTCTATGGCAGGGATGCTGTTGAATATTTTAGAGAGAAAATGTTCTTGGCTCCTCATACCTCTTATATGAAACAAGACCCAGTTTTGACCTTTTGTTCACAAACTCACTTCCAGTTGGCTTATGAGGATCATTCAAAAATCTAATCTAAGCACTCAACTTTCAGAAAATTGTAAAACTGTCAAACATGATGGAATACAGAGCTATTGAAAACATAGGATAATGACCAGGATGAGATCATAATAAGAAGTGCACAACTGTTTGGTACAACTGCAAAGTCAGTGGAACAAAATGCTTCTTTAGAGCAGGTAATCTTTGTGGTATTCATGCTGTGCATTCATTCTTCTTGATGGGCCTGAATGCACTATTGAGGCAGAGATAAAGAGGGAGCCTAGAAAGGTTGGACAGGGAGGAAACAGGAGCAGCAAATATAGAAATGAAGTGAGATGCTGAACTGTCTTTTGTCATGTTCATGACAAATGATACCTTACATTAATATAGTACATTTCATCCCAAAGCACTATATAAAATGAACTTAATTCTTATATACAGAAATGCCTTCTCTCATTTCTGGATTGGAAGTTGGCAGCTGTTCAGCAACACACAGGAAAATAAGGGCTGGAAATCCAAGACAATAATCTATCCAAATGAAACTACATGAGGGATTTACATACCAAAGGGGGAAATGGAACTAATACCTCCTATCTTGTGAAAAGTGCTACAAGGTTCTTAAAGACAGTAAGTGCTCAGGGCCTTGGTTTTATGTCTTGCCTGATAAACAGCACCTCCAACAACATTGCATGCTGTTGCTGGGACACTTTTTCATTACTGACTTAGAGAACACCTACCTACTACCTTCCATTCAAATACAGACCAAGCCTTATGTTGCACAGGGCTCAATCTTCTAGGCTTGATTGGACCGAGGCGGTCACCAAACATCAGAAGTTTAAAACAGCATCACAGCTGCTCTTGTCAATTAAGACTTTATACCACACCACCAATGGGAGTACTCGCACTGTGAACATTAAGCACGAGTTTTAGTGCTTTGCTGGATCGAGGCAGAGTGCTCAGCTCCCGGCAGAATCGAGTCCGACATTTGTAAAATCTGATGAAATCACCATCCGGGTAAGCTTCATTGAAGGTCTTGTTTACTGACAATTTATAAGACAATAAATAGAATTAATAAATAAAAATACAAATTAATTGATTTAACAAAGGAGCTAGGCATTGTTCAGTAATTAACACTTAAAGAACCTCTGCTGTTTCATGATGGTGTGCTATAAAGGTTTAATCGGCAGGAGGTTGGACAGCTGCTATGACAGCAGTAGAGCTGCTTTTGAATAATAAATAATAATTCGTGAATATTGTATGTTGAGATGGTTGTTGAGATGTTTAATAGAGAGCTGTGAGGAAAAGCAAGCAGGGAAAGCAAAGAATGGCTCAAGATACGTCACACCTCAAATGCTTGAGGGTTGTTGAGGGACAATGTCTGAACTGTTATCTTTGAAGACTTTACCTCCTCCCCAGTCAACCTGCAAAACTAGTTTTGTTTAGAAAGCCCACAGCCTGGGAACACAAAACCAAAAGGACTATAGCAGTGAGGGTCTCTCTCTCTCTCTCTCTCTGGAGATGGGAGAGTTGTTCATCGGAACCAGACTAAGGTGCAGGCACCTGCTGGAAGGGTCTGAAGAAGTTAGGCCTGCCTAGATTACCTCAGGGTCTGGTAAACAGTTAGGTAAAATAGACATGTGTGTAAACTGTGGGCATCTTAAAATCTCTTTTCTCTAAATGCTTTCTTCTGCCAAAATAAACAATCCTTTTGTTTTATGAAGGCGATTTGGTCATTATCTACATTACTGGTCACAGACTCCCAAAGGGAAGAACCACAGGTGACTAAACCCATTTAGACATATAGGGTAAGAATGGTCAATACACAGAGTACTGTAGCCCAGGGACTGGTCTAAGAATGGGGGATTTGTGGAATTCCACCCAGGCACAGTAACGCCCCAATGCCT